AATCGATGCGTTTTTGTAAGAAAAATATCCAATGTAATAATGTAATAATCACTTTAATGTAGTTTGCGCTCACTGTTGTAAAGGGAAGCAGTTCCAGGCGAATGACCTCGCTTTGCACATGCGCATGCACCAGTGAGTCTCGTGAAAACCAACGTTTGTTAACAGGAGCAAAGGAAGCAAAGCGCTACAGAAGGCCTTTGTTCACCCCCCGGAGCTGTGTGAGGCGCTTTTTTTTATGGATGGGAGCTTTTTATTTAATTTGTTTTGAACTGAAGCATGCAACACCCGCTGAATACCATGAAACAGCTTGAAAGATCAAAGACAATTTTTAATATAGCTCCGACTGGATTCGTCTGAAAGAAGAAAGTCATATACACCTAGGATGACTTGAGGGTGAGTAATGTATGGGCTAATTTTCAAAGGCCTTTTTTCCCCCCCCCCCCCCCTTTTTTTTTATGGATGGGAGCTTTTTATTTAATTTGTTTTGAACTGAAGTAATGCAACACCCGCTGAATGCCATGAAACAGCAATTTTTAATATAGCTCCGACTGGATTCGTCTGAAAGAAGAAAGTCATATACACCTAGGATGACTTGAGGGTGAGTAATGTATGGGCTAATTTTCATTTTTGGGTGAACTAACCCTTTAAGCTGATAGCTGAAACAGCTGATATTTTAGTTTATCTAACTGCTACATCTGTTTCTTCTACAAGTTTTACTACAAGCTTCTAACTTCTGCCGGTAATATCAGTATATATTTTATTTATTTATTTAATCATTTAAATATGTTAAAAGCTTGACTATGATTTAAATAATTCATTAGGTTTTGTGTCATCATGAAACTGCTTAGGGGTGATTATATTTACAAGCACTGTCAAATGCTGGTCTGGTTCAAATGAACACAGTTCTTTTGGTTATAGTGATGTGAATTCCAGAGGGCCTTTTTTCCCCCCCCCCCCCCCTTTTTTTTTATGGATGGGAGCTTTTTATTTAATTTGTTTTGAACTGAAGTAATGCAACACCCGCTGAATGCCATGAAACAGCAATTTTTAATATAGCTCCGACTGGATTCGTCTGAAAGAAGAAAGTCATATACACCTAGGATGACTTGAGGGTGAGTAATGTATGGGCTAATTTTCATTTTTGGGTGAACTAACCCTTTAAGCTGAAACAGCTGATATTTTAGTTTATCTAACTGCTACATCTGTTTCTTCTACAAGTTTTACTACAAGCTTCTAACTTCTGCCGGTAATATCAGTATATATTTTATTTATTTAATCATTTAAATATGTTAAAAGCTTGACTATGATTTAAATAATTCATTAGGTTTTGTGTCATCATGAAACTGCTTAGGGGTGATTATATTTACAAGCACTGTCAAATGCTGGTCTGGTTAAAATGAACACAGTTCTTTTGGTTATAGTGATGTGAATGACTCCCATCCTGATTTTGGTGATGATGTTTACATGTGCTTTATGTTTGACTGAAGTTAAAACAGAAATCCATCAAGGACCGGCAAACCTTACCCCCGCACCGCAAAAGCACCTTCCGCTCTCACCCTTATAGGCCACAAGTCAGTGTTGCCTCACTCCTATATCCCAATAACCAATCACGTCGTCAGAGATGATTGCATGCACACTCTCACCCACTGCAACTCATTTCAGTATATACAGTGATTTCTGCACAAATCCTGTACAATATGTCTTTGAACTGCATGAGAAATTGCACATGAATGTATTATTCTTGAAGGAATCGTTCACCATAAAATTTCAACTGTCATCATGTGCACACGCTGATGTTGCTCACAACCTTTTGTCTTCAGTGGATGGTTTTGAGCAGCATAAAGTTGAGCTGATGACAGAATTTATATTTTTGAATGAACTCTTTAATGATTCGATAAATGCTTTACACCTGTGTGATTAATCACATTCTTTGATTAAATGATCAGCAAGTCCTGTCTAGATTTAGAATGGGTGGTTTTTACTTTAAGAATTCCAGCAAAGATAGAATATCCTGACTTCCCCTGAAATGGAGGTATATAGTGTATGTAATGCTTTCTGAATTACATAATATCCGGTATTGATCCGAATTAATAGGTACAGTGATTGATTACTATTGACAACTGTGGATTACTTTTCCTGATTATTACAGGTGTTGATAAAATTGTACATGAGTCATGTGGTTTGTTGTTTTCCTGTGTAGGACACCAAAACTGGCTCACCTGACTCTGACTCCTCCTGTCCCTCCTCTCCTAAAACCCCACACTCTGTTAACAGTGATTTCTGCACAAATCCTGTACAATATGTCTTTGAACTGCATGAGAAATTGCACATGAATGTATTATTCTTGAAGGAATCGTTCACCATAAAATTTCAACTGTCATCATGTGCACACGCTGATGTTGCTCACAACCTTTTGTCTTCAGTGGATGGTTTTGAGCAGCATAAAGTTGAGCTGATGACAGAATTTATATTTTTGAATGAACTCTTTAATGATTCGATAAATGCTTTACACCTGTGTGATTAATCACATTCTTTGATTAAATGATCAGCAAGTCCTGTCTAGATTTAGAATGGGTGGTTTTTACTTTAAGAATTCCAGCAAAGATAGAATATCCTGGCTTCCCCTGAAATGGAGGTATATAGTGTATGTAATGCTTTCTGAATTACATAATATCCGGTATTGATCCGAATTAATAGGTACAGTGATTGATTACTATTGAAAACTGTGGATTACTTTTCCTGATTATTACAGGTGTTGATAAAATTGTACATGAGTCATGTGGTTTGTTGTTTTCCTGTGTAGGACACCAAAACTGGCTCACCTGACTCTGACTCCTCCTGTCCCTCCTCTCCTAAAACCCCACACTCTGTTTGTATTAGCATCATCCCTCTCTTCTCCTCCTGGTCCTCCTTTATGTTTGTCTTTGTTGCCCTGCCTTATTTTCACTCCTCTCTTAATGCTGAGCTTTTATGTGTGCTTGTGGTGTGGGTTTTTATTAAATCAATAAGCCATGAGAACAGCTGAAACAGCTGATATTTTAGTTTATCTAACTGCTACATCTGTTTCTTCTACAAGTTTTACTACAAGCTTCTAACTTCTGCCGGTAATATCAGTATATATTTTATTTATTTAATCATTTAAATATGTTAAAAGCTTGACTATGATTTAAATAATTCATTAGGTTTTGTGTCATCATGAAACTGCTTAGGGGTGATTATATTTACAAGCACTGTCAAATGCTGGTCTGGTTAAAATGAACACAGTTCTTTTGGTTATAGTGATGTGAATGACTCCCATCCTGATTTTGGTGATGATGTTTACATGTGCTTTATGTTTGACTGAAGTTAAAACAGAAATCCATCAAGGACCGGCAAACCTTACCCCCGCACCGCAAAAGCACCTTCCGCTCTCACCCTTATAGGCCACAAGTCAGTGTTGCCTCACTCCTATATCCCAATAACCAATCACGTCGTCAGAGATGATTGCATGCACACTCTCACCCACTGCAACTCATTTCAGTATATACAGTGATTTCTGCACAAATCCTGTACAATATGTCTTTGAACTGCATGAGAAATTGCACATGAATGTATTATTCTTGAAGGAATCGTTCACCATAAAATTTCAACTGTCATCATGTGCACACGCTGATGTTGCTCACAACCTTTTGTCTTCAGTGGATGGTTTTGAGCAGCATAAAGTTGAGCTGATGACAGAATTTATATTTTTGAATGAACTCTTTAATGATTCGATAAATGCTTTACACCTGTGTGATTAATCACATTCTTTGATTAAATGATCAGCAAGTCCTGTCTAGATTTAGAATGGGTGGTTTTTACTTTAAGAATTCCAGCAAAGATAGAATATCCTGGCTTCCCCTGAAATGGAGGTATATAGTGTATGTAATGCTTTCTGAATTACATAATATCCGGTATTGATCCGAATTAATAGGTACAGTGATTGATTACTATTGAAAACTGTGGATTACTTTTCCTGATTATTACAGGTGTTGATAAAATTGTACATGAGTCATGTGGTTTGTTGTTTTCCTGTGTAGGACACCAAAACTGGCTCACCTGACTCTGACTCCTCCTGTCCCTCCTCTCCTAAAACCCCACACTCTGTTTGTATTAGCATCATCCCTCTCTTCTCCTCCTGGTCCTCCTTTATGTTTGTCTTTGTTGCCCTGCCTTATTTTCACTCCTCTCTTAATGCTGAGCTTTTATGTGTGCTTGTGGTGTGGGTTTTTATTAAATCAATAAGCCATGAGAACCCAAGCATTAAGGGTTTAAGGGTGTTGGATTGGCTCAATTTGAAGTGGAGTGCTTTAATGGTTATGGATGGTTAAATCACTGGAAAACCTCTAATGGATCAATGCATTTAGAATGCCACAGCAATATGACAAAACTGTTTAAAACGTGATTACATTAGCAATGATGTAAAAAAATAAAGTCAGTTTTGTGCATTGATACAGAATTAAACTGATGTGTGATGATCACAGGTGTGTGTACATTTGCATGTGGTTTGAATGCAACTCATCCAATCAGATTTTAAAACTATCCATTTTATAAGATTGATTTACTGGTTGCGTCTGCTGTGCTGCTTCCTTACTAAATACTGCAGAACAGAATGCAATATAGCTCAGTACAACATACTGCAAACAGGCCTAAACCATCACTATGCTTACGTATGGTAATCTCTCTTTTATGGTGGTTCAGCCTCTGTTGCGACTAGACAAAGTTAGGTTTCTTCTAACTCTGTTCTTGGTTGATTCTGTGGCCGCTTGCTGTTCATCAATCTCATTGTAGTTTGTTTATTTAGGTTTGTCTTCTTTCTCTCTTCTCACATCTGTTTCTCTGTTCTAGCCATCAGAGAAATGTGGCATTTTAAACATGACTAAAATCACTGAACATGGAAAGAAGGTCCGGTAAGTAAAAGCAAACAGGGAAGGGAATGCTTTCATTAATTTGACAGAGCGAACAAATGCTTAACCATGCTGTGGTGATATTGTTTTGTTTGTTTGCCTTTTGTCATGTCCACAGGAAGAACTGGACCTCCTATTGGACGCTACTTAAAAAAAAATATTAATTAGGCCTTGAATATTTCTTAACTTCAAAAATGCCAGAAAACATCGCCACAAAATGGAAAAGGTTGTGCAGTCAATAATAATAATAATATAATTATTTTCTAATTTTAAAAAAGGTTTGTCACAGTTACCTAAAACTATAACAATTAACATTTTCATTACTTAAAATGAAATAAACATTAACTGAAATAAAATATATACAAATTGTTAAACTTGTTTTATTTCAGCAGTTACCAAGGCAACTTTTCTCAGTTTTTAGTTTAACTTGAAGTAAAATAACTAAAACTAAATAAACAAACAAATAAAAATGACTAAAAACTATATACACATTTAAAAAAAAAAAAAAACTAATAAAAATTAAACGAGCAACAACATTACTAAAACTTTCAAATGAAAGTGAAAACATTAAATATAGAAATAATCAAATTTGAAATATAAAAAACTATAATAATGAATCGATAGTAAAATGACTGCTTAATATCACAGTATTGATGTGCATGTAAACTGGATGAGTTGATACTCACTTCTGTGAACTGCATGCTAACATGCATTGTGATGTTTTGTAATGCTTGTCATTTTTTCTCTTTCTCACCTCCTCTAGGGTTAGGAATGGATGGTTTGTACAGAGTCAGTGGAAATTTGGCCATTATACAAAAACTGAGATTTGCTGTTAATCACGGTACGTCCTGCTATCTTTTACACCCATACTGATTTATACGTAACAGATTACTCATATGTATGATAAAAACAGATGATTATTTTGATCACTTTGATCTACATAAATACAGATGAAAAAGTGGATTTAGGGGACAGTAAATGGGAGGACATTCACGTGACCACTGGAGCCCTGAAGATGTTTTTCCGTGAGCTGCCAGAACCTCTATTCCCCTACGCTTTCTTCAACAACTTCATCACCGCTATCAGTGAGTGGAGATCAATATTTAACACTGGGGTTTAGAGGGAGATGTTTCACACTCATATAACACTATCGTGTGTTTCTGTGTAGAAATGCCGGATTATAAGCAGAAAGTTCAGGCAGTTAAAGATCTGATGAAGCAACTGCCACGGCCAAACCACGACACCATACTGGCACTCTTCAAACACTTGAAGAAGTGAGTATAAAAGAAGGAGAGAGCAACTTACTGTAGACGGCACATAAACATAAATGGAAATGATTATAATTCTCTTGTGTGTTTACACACAACACTCTTTCTCTCTGTAGAGTAATCCAGCATGTTGACGAAAACAGGATGACCACGCAGAGTGTAGCTATCGTGTTCGGCCCGACGCTCCTACGCCCAGAGGTAGAGACGGCAAATATGGCCTTGCACATGATCTACCAGAATCAGATCGTTGAGCTCATTCTTATGGAATACGAGACCATATTCGGCAGGTAGGTCACACGCACAGGAACCCTTTGACCAAACCCAACGGGACACAGTTACTGCTGAAGACCGACAGCCCATTGGCTGCCAGACTGAACACTGAACATAACGTTTGGTACGTTTACATGAGGAACACCCGTATTAGAGGAAAAAAAACAGCATTTTGGGTTCAACATAAACAGTCAAATCCTTTCTCATATCTTTATTGGACTAAATTATAGTCATTTTTTTCTTGGCTGAATGTCGTATTATTTTTATATACCAAAATTCATTGGACTATGTCATTTTTGGACCATCTTTGGATTAATTTGGAGCAACGAGGGCTTGAAATATGAAAGTTTTCTGTCCGACTGAAAACCGTGTTGCATATGGGAGATATCTGAGGCTTCATTTTAGATTTCCGTTCATTACAAGTACTACATTTTGCATCACGTCTTTCCTTGGTAATGCTGTAATATGGTTTGGAACAACACATCAACTGATTGACTGACATGATAGACATGGATTTTATTCTATCCTAACAACTAATTTTTATGGGAATGGATTGTAACCCTGAGATGACCGCTGCTTAAGATTTGGATACACAATATTTTGTTTGAGTCTTGGCCTCAATTTCCTGATTATTGATCCAATATCAAATGATGTACAAACTTCTGAGCTATGAAAATATATGTCAAGTATATTTCAGGCTGTGTGAGTGCATATGTCCCCTTCGGTCCTTAGATAGACATTGAAATTAAATGTGTGCAGGACACATTTTACCCCATGATGATATTAGACTCGCTACTGTTCCTGACCAGACCCCAGTCATGCATTGAAAACTCCTACAGCCTATTTAATGTATGAGTACAGTATGCTGTAGACAAAATAACATGTAAAGATCTTGTATTAGAGAGAGAGGAGAAATTGTGAGTGGATAAAACTTGATTGCTCTTTCTAAAGATGTCTGATGGACATACTGTGTGTGTGTGTGTGTGTGTGTGTGAGAGATGAGTAAGAGCCACAATTGTATTAATACAGACAGGTTTATTCAAATGTTTTAATGAGAATTAATTCAGATATGGTTATTTGGTAAATGGCTGTTGAATGTAATTCGTCAAATATTCTGCTGTACCTTGCAGAGCTTTGTCTTGATCAAAATAAAATTGACAAGGCAAATTGGTCACCTTATTGTGTTGTTACTCCCCTCCACCAGGGGGCAGCAAATATCTCAATAACACTGGTTTTGTTTTTAATGTGTTGCTCTTAAACTTCTCACATATAATTTAACTACTGGTATACAAACCAACTCTTATGTATTTTATATTATATGGATTTAATCAAAGCACAGCCACGTCATAAAGGAATGTTCAGACTTATATGCTTTTACTGTAAATGCTTTTTTTTAGGGACTTGTCTAAATTGTTGGACCTGGAACATTCCTTTCATGCTGTTGATACAGTATGACAGTTTATATTTTTATAGATGAAGATGCAGACTGACCACTATGAGGAAAAAGAGGATTTAGTCTGACGCATTTTGTTGCTGATTTCTTGTTCTAATATTCACTTATTTCACTCTTAAGTGGAAATTGCAATCTATTTCGTTTCCATTCCAATGGATACATTTTCTTGCAAGTCTTTGCAATAGTAGAGTTTGTCCTAATCCAGTGTTTTGCTGGATTCTTAGATACAAAACGGGATGATGTGTCACTTAACATGTACTCTGTTTGCTTTTTAAGATTTACATATTAGACGCTTTAATTTTTTAGGTCAAAGTTTTAAATGAAATGCTAAACACCTTGGATACCCACTGTCGTGCGGAAATGTCTAAATGTTAGCACGCTTTCACTAAATTTGTTAGAGAATGAATAAGTAATTTAGAAATGACCTGGTGCTTCACTTCATTTTATTTTATGGGGCATCAAAAAAAGCAAACAAAGGAAGAAAAAATCCTACAAATCACCTCATGGAAAATGTGACATTTACACACACAATGCAAAGTTGGCACAAATAAAAACAAACAGACAAAATGAGTTGACTACTTTTGGTTCCAAAATGGCAAATTCAACACCAGTACAACAACATGAATCCATGCTCTTCATCACAGGTTTAAGGGTCATTTACTATTAATTACAGTGAAGCTGTTGGAAAAGGGTCAGGGTTCAAGAAAAACTGAAGCAATGGGTGCAAATATCTGCCTGATTGACTTTTTGTGGTAGAGTTAAAAAATAAGTTGAAATTATAAAACTAATACTGTTAAGTTCGGCTTTATATACTGTATATCAGGGTTTAACCTCCATCGTGGCACTGAGATTAATTCTAAAATACATTGTGTTAAACTACAGTGTTGTGTATTACACACGCAATAAATAAAGCAATACAAAAACATAAGACGTATATAAAAAGGTTCTACAAATGAAACAATTTTCGATGACAATAATACTAATGGTATTACACAATATACACATGCATAAACAAAAAAGAATAAACATTTCGAAATACATTGAAATTAATAATACTGTAAGGTCTACTAAAACATTTTTTATCCTATGCGCCTCTTTCAAAGTGCTGCTTTCTTTGTGCACTTCACAGTCATATTACATTTGCCTTCTGCATGATTTCGGGATGCTAGATTTTGTTTCATCTATAGGGCCGTGCAAGTTGGAAATCTTAATAACAGAGAGAACACTTGCTGATGATTATGGGTTGTGCTCTCCTATACAATCCTATGGTTCATACAGTTCTTTCAAGTATATTTCTTTCATCATCGTTCATCAAATAATCCTTAACCTGCTTCTAATTGGTTTGAATTCATTACTTGGTTTGGCTAGTTGTTTTAGGTTATTATATGATTCTACATATGTAGGGCTACATATGTTATATTATCTTTTTCCTGGCAATACCAAAGTGGGCTAAAAGAGAGAAAACCGCTTTTCTAAACACTGAAAACCAGCATGAGCTATAACAGCTTGACAGTGTGCCATTTGATTACAAATGAGGGCAGTGTTACAAACTTGTTACAAAATTTCTGTACATTTGTCAAATCTGTTGGGTTGGGTCCTTGAGCAGTGTGGACATTTTATGTGTCTTTAGTTGTCTAGATTGTCCGGTGTGACTGTGGAGCACTGTGTTAATGTTTGTGAATGGCACTTACAGCTTGGCGGTCTTGCATAAGGCTGTGGGTGTGCAGAGCATCTCCTATGAACACAGACTGACACATTACAACATAAAGCCACGCAAAGATGAATGAAACAACAGGTGAAACTGCCTTTTGAGGTTGACACTTTTTTTCCTGAAGTTTTTTGTTTTCATTCATATGGTGTCATGATCGTGAAAAGTATGTTTTCAAAACTTTTTTTTTTTTTTTTTTACAGTTGCCGACAAATATTTTGGAGTGCTTATTACAAAACGTCTTTTTTTAAATCGAATTCGAATCTGATTTGAATTATTATTCAGTTGAGTAGTTCATTACAAATAACCAGTTTAAATTGAATCAAAAAGCGATTACATTTTTTAAAATGATAATAAGCATTCCTATGAATATTTCCATAATTAATTATTTACATTTTCTTCTTTTTATAAATGAGCTATTAATAGTGAAGTGCCATTTAATTTCCTTCATAAGGCAGACAAACAATCAGATGGAAAAACGAGGCAATGCTAACAACAGCTTGCCTGATTAACACGACAAAAATACTGAATGGTATCTTAAACTTGAGGCATTAAGTATCTGTGGTTAATCTCACAAAGAAATGTCCAGGTCATATTTCACCCTAAAAAATCAAGTTGAAAAAAATTCTATTTTGCATTAAGAAAAAAGGCGACTTTAAAGATTAAGCATAAAATACTGTAATACAGTAATGAAAACCATTCTGTCTGGACACAATTTAATTTTTTTTTAAATAAGCATGAATTAAACTTTATGACATAAATTAAAATCAATGTGTATTTGCAATTGTTCTTAATTGTTTCAGATGATTAAAATGTGTTCATTAAAAAATGTCTGTGATGGTCCTAAAAATAGGCTTCATTGTCTTCATGCAAAATATATATATATATATATATATTTTTTTTTTTTCAAGTGAAATATGACCTTTCTTGCCATTTTT